AACTGGGACAGGGAAACCAGCCCAGCCCCAAGAGCAACTGTGATTTTTGCTTTTTAAACTCGTGGACATTTCATACCTGTGCAATACTGAAGACCTCACTCTGTCACGCTGCCCCAGTGAGATAACGAGTGGTCAGCAGGCTTGCAAACAAGACTTCAGACTGACCTCGGGGATCGGTTCTCGGGACCGAAGGAAGGCCAAGCCATTATGCGAGCACAGCGTGTGCTGACTACTGTACTTCCAGACCCTCCCGCCCTCTCAGGACGGCCCAGTCCTTGCACCTCAAAGTTCGCCTTTTCATTTCAAGCGTAAGGCAATAAATAAATAAACAAACACCTGCAGCAACGTGGGAGAAAGAAGTTGCTGGACCAGGAAAAAGGCCGTTTCGAAGCCAATTCATTTTGAAGGAAGCACAATTTCCACCTTAATTTTTGAACTTTGGCAGTCTCAGTGTCTGTCTCTGTTGCTTCAGGGCATAAGCTGATCACCATGTCGTCGGGAAAGAAACCCTGCTGGGTTTATAGAGATGCGAGGTCTATGCTGGTTTGAACCCTGGACTGTTTTCGAGATTCCCTCTTGGGTCCAAAGAAGGCAATCGATGGAAGTGACGAGACATTGACTCTTCTGGGTTTCTTTTCACTGTGGGTTCTTCCCTGACCTTGGACTTTGGCATGATTCATATTCATACTTGAACCTGTCTCGTGGCGCCTCTCCTCTAAACAACTCTTGTGTCATTTGAAAAGAGCTTTTCAGATCATAGACCAGAAGGCACCCCTTTTGCAGGGGTGGTCGTGGGTGTCAGGAGAAAGAGGGCGCCTACTGTGCGTTCCGGGTTGGTGGTGTTAAAAACCATTGTTTCCTCAGCTTGCTGTCCTTCTGTGTGCTGGTGTCCGATCTCCGTGACCCTTGTTTTCCTTCCCGCCCCTGGGGGTTGTCTTCAAGCTATTGACTTCTAGGGTTTGCAGATTTTGCAATGTGGTACTACTTTTTGGTTTGTAGGTTATTTCTCCAGGGGAAAAGGCAATAATTTTCCTAAAACCCATGTGAATGTGAAGAAAAGCAGTATGTGACTGGTCGTCGTCGTCATTGTTGTTGTTTTTTATAGTGCAAAATAAAAATAGTAAAAGGGAAAAAAAAATACTTCTTTGTGTTGTTTGCAAAGACCCCAGCCTGCCTCACTCGGGTGTGTTTCCAAATGAACACGAGGATGATGGCGGTTGATGTGCAGCCATAGGTGTGAGGCTGTGTGTCTGCTTGAGAGTTGGTGATCTCTCTTCAAAATGTATTTGTTTTATTTATGATAGTGCATGTGTGTGCATGAGAGAAGCGCACCTGACGGGGGCTCCTCACATCACAATCCGCTTTTCCCCAGCCGTCTGAATGAATATGCATCTTCGGTGCACATTCATGCTTGGTATGTTTCTTTTTCTATTTTTTTTTAAGAATTATTATTATTTTTTTAAAGAATTATTTTACTTGACTTTATTTCTTTATATTTGACCAGAGAGGGACAGAGGGAAAGAAAGCTGCCAGGTCTGGGACTCAAACCATGGTCGGCCATTTGAGAGGCCAGCGCCCTTGACCATCACATCACACCACCTGCCAACCCCAAGAATTACTTTTTATTTTAACTTTATTTACTTATTTTAATTTGACCAGAGAGGGACAGAGTGAGAGAGCAAAACTGAGAAACCAAGCTGCCAGGTTCGGGACTTGAATTGCAGTCAGCCATGTGGTCCAGTTCCCTTAACCACCATGTCACCTGCCAGCCCCCATACCTAGTATGTTTCAAGCCAACTGGAATCGGCCATGTGGTGTAGCCAGCCATGTGGTTTCCAGCCCTGCAGTTCAGTGTGTTACCCCAGTATACCTCTAGGCTGGGCCAAGTTAGTGATCTTAACTATGAAACAGAATGTTGCTTTCTAACCTACGGGGTCCCTAAACTACCTAAACTAACCTGGGAGAGAAGTCCTTCGGCTCCATGGGGGGTGGCAGGGGTGTGAGATGGTCAGAGTATCTGTCCACTCCTGGCTCTTTACCCCCAGGGCCTTAGCCAGAGGGAGTGATTCGAACCACAGATTCCGCATCTATGAAGGGAAGTGAACTGAGTTAGTCCCAAAGCTGCTTATTTGTGAGACAATATTTCAGCAAATCTAGAGTCTTATCTTGAGGCCAGCCCCCTCCCCCCAGGGCACTTGGAGTCCCAGACATGCTGGTGCTTGGCCAGGGGTGGGAATGAACTGGGTGAGGATTTTCCAGCAGTGCCTGCCCCTTCTTGTCACCCTTACAACTAATCCCAGATAATTCCCTCCAGAGTTCCAAGGCGAGCCCCTCAATGAATGAGCTTAAGGCTGAATGCACTTGCCTCCTGCGTGATTTCCTCTGCTTTGAGGGAAGAAGGAAGAAGCAATCTCAACTTCTCTCCATGGCTGGGTCCTCCCTGCCCCAGCCTAACTCCTGGGGCCTGTATCCTGATCTGGAAGAACAGGGAACTGGCCAGGATTTATGCCACCCCAGGATTTAGGCAGCCAACCCCCAACACCCCAATTCTGGGAGGCCCAAAGAGGTCTGCAGCTCTCCCAAAGTGCAGTGTGTCAGCAGTGGGAGGGTGGCAGAAGCCAAGGCAGCTCTGTATGTGATCATGCCCTGAAGGCTTTGCTCGAAGCCTCGCTCTCTCCACACCTTTCCTCCCCAGGTTCCACAGGTTCCTTGGAAGTCTTCAGGTGAGAAGGCTGTCCAGACTGGGGAACTTGGATACCCTTCCATTCCCTGCATCTGCATCATCACGTGGGCTTCCACAGTGGAGGGCACAGGGTGAGGGGAGTCCTGGGTGCTAGCCCCAGCCCTGCCCTACGTCCCTCTCCTTCCTGTGCTTTGGAGCTAATCCCCAACCTCTATAAACCAGACTTCAGGGCCTGGTCTAGCTGGTGCCTGAGGTCCCTCTCAGTTTCACATCTCTGAGCCTCTCATCAATCTCAGTGTGTCCCAAAGCCTGTCCAGGTGCAAAGTGGACGGAAGGGCCTCGAGCCGGGAGAGCCCAGGAGTAGGAGGTGGGTGCAGGATAGGGTGATACGCTAAGCCACGTCCCACTTTCTGACATTTGCTTTATTGCATTAAAGCCTTTCCCTGAAGGGTGAGTAAGTCCTCTAAATCAGGCATATGAGGATTGCTCACAAGCTGGTGAGTCACTGGAGGGTAGGCCAAGTGAAGCCCCACAGCTCGGGATGGCTCTGGAACTCTCCACTTCATGGTCTCTTCATTCATTACTCCTCCATTTTGGCCAAGGTCAATGTTATGCTGGCTTCCAGGGCCGGGTGGGGAAATTCAAGCTGATGGAGTTTAGTTCCTTCATTCCCAAGGTTTTTTTTGTCTTTTTGTTTTTTGTTTTTGAGAGAGTTTTGCTATAGGGCATGTGTGCTTACCAGAAAGAGAGAGACAGACAGAAAGCAAGAAATCACCCCTCAGGGGGATGGCCACACCACAATCCCTTCTCCTCCATTCTCCTCATGGGATCCTGGGAATGCATGCACGCATGCCCAGCATTAGTTTAAGCCACCAGGTCTGGGACTCGAACCACGGCCAAATACATGGGAGTCCAGCGACATAGCCATTACACCAAATGCTGATCCCTTCCCAAGTTTTAAGAAACATTTCTGTTGGTTCCCAGCAGTGTCTCAGGTAGAGATGTGTCTGGGAGAAGAGGGACGCTCTCTCCTGTTTTACTTCCCAACTGCAGCTGTGGATGAGCCCCATAGGTCCACTCTAGCTTCAGAGCTGGGCTTCAGCCTGATGTCCGGTATGCCGGCAGGAGCCCTTTGTACCTGTGGGTGCCTTTGAGAACTCCTGGAAGATGCTCCCCTGATTTCAATATCCAGCTGTCCCAAAGCGCTAATGGTTTATCTTCTGAGCATTATAAACCTCATGCTCCGCTTCCCCTCCTTGGTTAGGCTACTAGGCAGCTCAGAACTGATTTATTTATCCCATGAACAAGAAAGACAGTGCAGGACCAGCAATTGGCATAATGGCTATGTTGCTGAACTCCCATGTAGTCGACCGTGGTTCGAGTCCCAGACCTGGTGGCTTAAACTCAGGCCGGGCGCATGTGCATGCGTGCCCAAGATCCCAAGAGGAGAATGGAGGAGAAGGGATTGTGGTGTGGCTATCTGCCCTGGGGGTTGATTTCTCCCTTTCTGTCTCTCTGTCTCTCTCTGTCTTTCTGAAGAGCACACATGCCCTATAGCAAAAATCTCTCCAAAAAAAAAAAAAAAAAGACGATGCACCCCCAACAGGGGCTTGATGCCATCCTCATCCTCGGCCAGCCCTGGATCATGGGTGAGACTGGAGGAGAAGGAATTGTGGTGTGGCTATTCTCCATGGGGGGGTTATTTCCTGTTCTCTGTCTCTCTGTTGAGGCCACGTGCCCTATAGCAAAAGCCTCTCAAAAAATTTTTTTTCCCTATTTTTCTTTTACTTCCATCTCCTCAGTGGCTTAAAAACAAACAAACAAAAACCCCTTTTAAACCCTATTCAAAGACTAAATGTACCACGATGCATTTATGGAACGAGGTGGGCTATAAATACATGCAGAGAGAAGCCTGTGCATTCTCTGTTGATACTCTCCATCTCACTCCGAAGGATTCATCCGGGGGACTTAGTCTTTTCAGTGACTGCCAAGTTCTCTATTCTTTCTGAAATAGATTGTGTCCAGAACCGAAGCCCCATGGCTGGCGTCCTGGCTCCTTGCCTCAGCATCTCTGGCACTGCCCTCCATTTTAGCCCTGTGTTCCGCCGCCTATGCTCTTCTGCTGGGGGCGCCCTGGCACGGACGGGCAGATTATGCAGCTCCGTGCAGACCCTTCTGACCCCCACACACCGGAGAATGTGATGGACATGATTCCATGTTTTGAAAGCCATCATCCTCTCATCCTTTTTTCTGAGCATCTGCTGGAACTTGGGGTTCAGAGGAGAACAGAATCCACGTGGCCCCATCTTCGTGGAGTTCCTGAATATCGGTGACTGCTCAGTGGACCTTTGCCCCAGACTGGAGCTGGCCTCTGCAGTTAGATCAATACGCCTGACCACACATGACCCCCTCCCCGCTCCCCATAGACCAGCCAGCAGACGTGGCCGTGTACCTGGGGCAACCGTCCGAACCCGCCATCCCTTAGGCTCTCTTGCATTGCTTATTCTTTTTTTTTTTTCAATGAACACCGTATTAGCCTTGCTCCTACTTCCACTCACACCAGAGTGCAAAAGGAAGTGAACTCATCGAGCTCTAGTCCTTTCTCAGCTATTTGTCTAATGTCAGAAGTGTGTGGGGCCTGGTGGCGTGGTGGTTTAAAGGCAGCTGGATCCTACATAGCAGATTGCATGGTTCAAGCCCCAGACCCAGCAGCTTGAAAAACATGCTGCATGTACGTGTGTGCCCCAGATCCCAAGAGGAGAGTGGAAGAGAAGGGATTGTGACATGGCCATCCTCCCTTGGGGGGAGATTTCTCACTTTTCTCTCTCTCTCCCTCCCTGTCTCTCCAGTGAGTGCTCATTTACCCTATTGCAAAAAACCTAAAATGTGTGTGTGTGTGTGTGTGTGTGTGTGTGTGTGTGTGTGAAGTGCTTACTATGTGCCACAGACATGTACAAGTGAGGCGTGTACACAGGCAATATCTTTCATTCTCACAGTCCTGCACAAATGTTCTTATCTCCATTTACAGGTACACACACTGAACCTCAGAGATTTTAAATAACTTGCCCAAGGTCACACAGCTAGTAAATGGTAGAGCCAGGATGAAGCTATTTTATTAATCTCATACGTCTCTGAACACCTGGGGTATGTAATAGGTATTCCGTCCATTGGGCTTTTGTTTGCAGGGAAGCGAGTCTCCTTTGGCCACATTAAGAAAAAGGGTTGTGGATTGATGCAAATAGCATTTAATGCCCAGCGACACTTCATTCCAGCCACGCTGGCTTTCTGACAGTTCCTGGAACCCTGCTCAGAGCCTTCACACATGCTGGTCCCTCACTATAACCCTTCTCCTATACGTTCACCCTTTAACTCATCATCCCTACTGCTCCTTCACTTCTTAGATTAAACTTTGCTCTCCCAGAGAAGCCCTCCAGGTGAGGTCAGATGTTCCTATT